AACTGGTTGTGACTTGGTGGAAAAATTCATTCGAGGTGTGAAATGCTCCTCAGAAGTGTTTCAAGGGATCACCAATTTAACATTATTTAAATTCATTTTGGGTGTTCACCTAAGGCTGTTCCATGGGACTGGAGAGCAAACAGCTTATTGAGCTTTAGCAATCCATCATCCAAATCCCTTGATTAGCGGCGATCAAGTTTCAAGATGTGGTCATTAATAATTAGATGGATTCTCATTGGGGTTTTTCAGCCAAGTGTGGAAACTGAATTATCCGTCATGGTTTCTCAGACATGTCTACGTCGCAAGAGGGACATGGATTCTTGTGTCACCTGAACTTCTCAGTGTTGCTTGATCCATTACTCATGGCATCCTTCTGCTGCACCTGGCAGGGCTGGGGTATAGGATCAGGTCTCCGGGATCCTCTTTCAGTCAGTTGATATGAAAAGGTGGCTCTGGGTATCTGCACAGGCTCTCGATCCAAGGGGCACCACCTTCTCTCGCGCGCATTTGGCTGCTAAATAAAACTTGCCGGGAAAGGTCACCGGGAGGTTCGCAGAGAGATGCCATTGATTCGTGGATCAGATCCAGCCCCTGCTTCTCACTGGATGCAGGAGAAGGCATGGATCTTAAGCCCAGTTTCAAGTGCAGCTCAGAAAGGGACAAATTAAACCTGAACCAGGTCAGGATAGAGAAGATCTGTCCATATAGCATATTGTAGGTGGGGTGATTACAGGCACTCTGAAGAATGGTTGTAGACCTTGGGGTTCTCCTGGAAGCCAAGTGGTGACAGTTTTCATATTAACCGATTATGCGCCGTCAGGTTATTCTAAATTCCTAGCAATCAGATAGGTTTTTCTCCCTAAGCTGTTCTGTCAGGATGCCCAATGGTTCAATCGTCGTCCCAGTAATAGAAACCACTACGTTCATCATCCTCTTCCTCTCTTAATAATCCTCTCAACCTTCCTTTCACCCAACTCTTCCCACTTATGACTGTATGACTGTAACTTTGTTGCTTGTATCCTAATTATTTTTATTGACTGTTTCCTAATAGGATTTGATTGCTCATTGTACTCTATGACTATCATTAAGTGTTGTACCTGATGATTCTTGACTCTTGATAAATGTCTCTTTTCTTTTATGTACACTGAGAGCATTTGCACCAAGACAAATTCCTTGTGTGTCCAATCACACTTGGCCAATAAAGAATTCTATTCTATTCTATTCTATTCTATTCTATTCTATTCTATTCTAT